ACACACCCCCCCACCCCCCAAAAAAATAAATAAAAAACACTCCCACCATCTGTGCAGAGTGACAACAACCTCTATACCCTACCATGCACAACACAGACTGTATACTGCACACACACTTGGGGCAAACACACACATCAAACATGACAAATCCTCACTCATGGGCTCTGTGTGCTGTTATACTCGACAGCAAGTCTGTGAGTGGTTTGGTTTCCGCGTGTGTGTGTGTGTGTGTCTGTGTGTGTGCGCGCGTGCATCTTTTATGACCCCAAAAAAACATAGTTACCTAGTTACTGTCACACCTTCTGCATGTATGTAACACAAAGACAGTAAGCCGCAAGCACAGATGGACATTCAGGTAGTAGGCTACCCAATCACACACACGCACAGATGCATACACGCACACACCACCACCATTGTTCCACAGATGCAGGGGAATTTCACCCCCTATGCCAGCTTCATCTCTTTTAACAGAGCTGGGCGTGGCGCTCAGGCTGGCAGGGTGGTAATGGTGGGAGGGTGCAAGGTGGGTGAGCATGATGCAGTGGCACCCGGTGCCCACTGTGGTGGAGGTGACTCCCAAATTTAGCTCCATGTGCAGCCAGACAAGCTTGTCTAAATGGTGTTTTTTGTTTTTGTGCCCTCTCCTCTGCTGGTGTGTGGAAAAGAAGGGGAGTAAGTGACAAATAGAACATGTTGCATATGCATCACAGAGCTCTCTTCTGTCACACACACACACACACACACACACACACACACACACACACACACACACACACTGCAGGGATATTATCACTCATCTTTTAATATTTAAATGGCTATTTTGAGGCTGGTTTATTTCCGCTTTCCGCCTGTCACTGCCCTCTCCCGCACAACAAACCACTCTATGTTATAATTATGACACTGATTAGTCCAATGAAATATTTTTCGAGATTAATCCCACAATAATGAATCCAATAAATGTTTACCTAATCTGATAAATGGGAGTAAAACTCTCCAGATGGAGATTTATGTACAGTAGGCCTGGGCCTACTTTGTGTTGTGTTTGCTGTGCTGCGGCTGCAATTTCAGCGGATCAGCTGATCGTTTTTAAAGCAGTTCAGATGAGCTCTTTGCGGGATTATTTCATCACAGTAATTGCATGGAATTTTATAAACACTCATTTGAACAATTAATCTTGAACAGGATTCCAGATAATTGATTTTATGGACTTTAGTCGGGTCAGTTAAGCCCATTTGTCATAGATATTTAAAATAACCATTACAATATACAACGATATCAGCCCTGTTGGACAGTGGCGCCGTTTTATTGATGAAAACGCATCAAAATAAGGGACTTAATCATATTTTTTATAAATAATTCGTTCAGTCCGAAACCCATACATTTCTTAAAAGGTTAATTGGCCAATATATGTTCGTGTAATAGCCTAATACAATTCATAATAATAATTATTATAGTAATAGCAATAATAATAATAGATGTTTGTTTAAAACAGTATTTTCTAAGTGAAGCGTGAAGGTGAATTTTACCGGTTAAAAGTCACACTCTGTTTGAAAGGCTGCTGCAGGAGCTACTACCAGCATTTTAAAAGCCCCTCTTTAACCCTGTGGAAATGTCCGATTAGTTCAATGCGTCGGTTTCTCTGCAGTCCCCTGCACAAGTGCTTGACCGCGCGAACGTGTCTCTTTTTGTTCGGGGCCGCGCGCGTGGACACTCAGCCTCCTTTACCGGCGGAGAATAATGAACAGATGCTGAGTGAATTAGGAAAGAAATACTGGGTCCCTCCCACAAGGGCCACTTTGGCAGGGGCCGCCTGGCTGCCACGTGGCGCAGCTGGCACCGGGGTTGGTGATGGTGGGCTTTACTGGTCTCTGGCGTTACTGGTGCTCAGACATTTAGCGACTTGGCACCGCGCTGCGCCATCAAATCCTCTGCCAGCCGCCACCCCTCCTCACTAAAAACTCCACAGGCTAAGTGAGAGGTTAGAGCCGAAAATAAAATCAGAAATGTGTCTCTCACCTTGCCCTCCGAGGCCTGCCCTTCACCCGGGACAGGAGACTAAAGTAGACTAATCCCCACCCGGAAGACTGTTCTCCGTTTTAGGAATAATATAGTTTTTATTTATAGACTATTCTGTCCTATACAAAACACAGGCTCGCTTTTAGGCATTCGACCACTCATACAAGTGTTTGAGGATTTTTCGTTTGCGATTACTGACAATCTTTTTTCTTTTTTTTTTTTCCATGTAAAATCTGTCCACCTGAGAGGGAAATGTCAAACCTTGGACAAGACTTCAATTTTACTGAACCAAAGTGTTGTATGAGAGGCTCATACAATTTTGTTTACAGTACAAAGAGATTAGTAATTGTCTCTAAATTATTAATTATTTTTAAATTGGGATATAATATCTATTCAAGATTATTTTTTAAAGCGCCCTAACTTAATTTTCTCTTTGCATTTATCCACCTATAACAGAGGGGGGGGCGGTTTTAACAAAAAAAAAATGTGTGGGCTCTGTGTATCTTTTAATATGAAATGATGAGAGATGCTGTCAGTGCTACAGAAAAGTAAACCCCTTATTTTAGAAGAGTCTTTCAGAAAAAAAAGAAAACAGGTCCTATATAAAAAGCAGCTTTGTGTTTGTTTGTCTTTGGTGATTATAAAAAATGGCAGCCTTTCCAATCATTACATCAGCCTTTCGAATTTATCATCTGTGGTGAGAGGTGTGAGTGTGTTTGTATGTGCACATGTCTGTGTGTGTGTGTGTGTGTGTGTGTGTGTGTTTGTCCATGATGCCATCCCTGGGCTTCTTCATTTCAAACCAACGGGCCATTGATTCACCTGATTTTGCACCTGCAGCTCTTCCACTGATGGGATGAGTCAGATGGGCCTTTTTGGCAAAAATGAAATCAAATTAAAAACGTTAAAAAAAAATTTATATATATATATATATATATATATATATTCTAAAATTATTAAACGGGATATCTTTATCTTTTCATGTAAGAATTTGCTGACAACTCTCCTGCTCTGTTTTCTCCTGCATGGGTCAGCGTTGGATGGGACAGTTTCCACCCTGCAGTGCCCGGTGCTGATTTCCCCTGGATGTCTGCAACAACATATGGGACCCAGGGCAGTGGTCCAAAGATGGTACTGAGCTCCACTATTGATTTGAGAAATGTGACCTAGCCTACATAAACTCAAATGATCAGACAGTCACTGTAAATACTAGAAACATGCCTTTCTTGCCATTTTGAGCAGCCTGTGTTTCATATTTTCAGGTTATTGTCTCTGCAGTGAAAAGAGGGTTTTGAAACAGAGCTGTAAAAAAATTTGATAGGACAAAAAACAAAAAAAAAGAGTTCATAAATATCCTATTTTAATGTATTCTTGGGGAATTATGTGACTTTAAGTATAATTGTATTATTTAACTCACCTGCTGTGACCACGCTCAGCTCCACCTTCACTGTGCTGGAGACACACACTCTCATCTAAAACTGCACTTTATTTGTACAGTATATCAAGTGTTGGCACTTTGTCTGTCTCATGGCTCTGGGTGACTGCGGCCTTTTGCTCACTATCTAGCGTATCATGTGTGTATCTGAAGCTCAGAGTCAAAAACACATGGTAAAGTGTCTTATTGCTTTTGAAAGGGGTTTAAGCCCCTGTTGGTTTCAGAGAGCTCATTCTAGCTTAAAATGGTTTCCTGTGCTGGTCAGTAACTGCTACATTCGTTTCGTTGAGCCCGTGTTGTGTTAAAACGAGAAAAATAAACATAAAAATAGCTCAATTAGCCTAATTAATGGCAGTTCACATTACAAATAACATTACTTTACATGAATATATAGGCTTTACGTTGCAGGTTTTTATAGAGCAGGCCTATTTATTCTCGCTTGTTGCTGTAAATAACCAACGGTTTCCAGATCAGGTCCAGATGAATAATATGCACAGCATCTCAATCTCACTAACTCAGTCATTTAAACCAAGGTGAGCTGTAAGGAAGCAGGATCAAGGCCACTTCATAGTCCATAGCTGCATCAATGTCCGAGCTAGAGGATGACATTAAAGTAAAACGTGAGAATTTTGGTCTAAAAATAGAGTTCGATTCTTCCCCCACATGTAATTCAAAGTTGATGTATTTTTAGTTTTCAATTCTATCAATTTCTTTAACGTGTTTGTTTGATTTCTATACCTTAACTGCCCGATATCCAGCTAGGCTATATCCAGGGTTTACTTGAATTATCAAAGTACAGGCATTTCGTCTAATTTAATTTCCAGTGGTTATTAATCTAATTAGGCCTAAAGCACTTAAGATTTCTGTTTTGCTATCAGTCTTTTATATGGCTTGTTCTTCAGCTATTTTAGATGCAACAGGCCCAGAAACTTATTCATAAGCAAAATCCATTAAAAAAAAAAAAAAAAAGCTATACAGTGTTTTGTGTGTGCCTCCTGTCATCAGTTTTGTTTCTATAGTTTATCCAAGCCTATAAATTGCTCATTTCTAAAGATAGAATTAAGAGAAAACTTATAGTTTCACATTTATGCACAACAGAGGGGATGATATTTTCAGTAGAATTAAAATAGTTTTACCAGAAAAACTTCAAAAACATTCATGTCATCTGTTATATACAGGCTGCATACACAGTCGACAACTACTCTAGGATACAACCATCTGAAAAGCGCTTTTCATGTTTCATTTAAATAAACAAAAAATAGATTATTAAAATAAGACAACTACATTAAAATATGTTTGACGTGCCTGTGTCTTTAAAAAATTCGATCGCTGACAAGCAGCAAAAGATTTCCGATGATATTTCAGACGAGGTTTTTATTTTTTATTTTTTATTTTTTTTATTTTTGAAGGCTTTTATTTTTATATTTTTAAATACTTTTCAATCTAAGATTATTTCCCGGAAACATCAGAGCCTCTGCTTTATCCACCCAGCCAGAGTCAGTGTTCCCCTTGATGCTCACAAGAAGATTTGTTCGATCATTTCAGACAATTATAAAACATTTTTTTTTATTTCTGTTGTTCGTGTCATAACATGTTTCTCGTGGGCCTATACATCGTTTATGTCAATTGCACTCGTTCTGCATACAGGATAATAGTGGACACACTGTGATAGGATGTACAACAGTATAGGGATGACATCAGTAGAATACAGAAGGTAATCAGAGGACTCTTTCCATCACTTCCATCTCTCGTCCTTTCAGAGACTCTTGTTTTCCAAACAATATTACACGTTATAGGATTGTCAGTATAAGGTCAGTAAGCCTGACTGGGCCAGTCCAAGGGCTCAGTTGTGGAAAAAAGCATTGAGATCCTCATATGGAGGAGCCCTGTCGTGGTGCAAGTGCACGTCGTGGAAAGGTGGAATGTTTTCCGAGTGCGAACCACCACTGCGCGCACCCGAGGGCCCAAACGGTAGGCTGTGGCCGGGTCGAGATGTGGTCAGTCCGGAGTAATGCATAGAGTAGTGATAGTTCCTGTCTGTCTCAGAGGACTCCTGCTGTCTCCCAGACAGTCCGCCGTTCAGGCAGACGGGTGGGCTGTGCTGGCCTTCATAGTCCGGGCTGTTGTAGTCGGGAGACGTCCCCCCCGGCGGGTACACCCCCCCGGCCTCGTACCCAGAACCATATGCAGGGCCCCGCAAGTTGAGTGCACCGGTTCCGGGCTGGTAATGCGGACTGGAGAGGCGGGAACAGCGGTAGGAGTAGGGGTGGACGGAGAAAGGAGAGCTGGGCATGTGGAAGCGGGCTCCGTCTGAACACGGTTCAGTCAGGAAGTTCCTTGTGTTGAGCTGCAGGCAGCCTGCCACCAGGTTGGTCGTGGGCTGTGACAGGCCCTTACACAACATCTGCACGTAGGTCACCACATCTGGACGTTTCCCGTTGCGTAAAATCTCCCCAAGAGCCAATATATAATTCTTGGCCAGCCTCAGAGTCTCGATCTTTGACAGCTTTTGGGTTTTGGAGTAGCATGGCACCACTTTGCGCAGATTGTCCAGCGCAGAATTCAAGTCGTGCATGCGCGTGCGCTCCCGCGCGTTCGCCTTCAGTCGACGCACCTTGGAGCGCTCCGCGCGCGCCGGCGTCATCTTGCGTTTCTTTGGGCCGCGCTTCTTGGGTTTGTCTCCACTGCTCTCGTCTCCACACTCTTCCTCCTCGGCCTCATCATCCTCATCGTCGTCGCCGGCCAACTCAGACTCAGCTCGGCTGCTGCCTTCCCGCGCGTCGTCCAGATCGTCATCCTCGAGGTCACAGGGCTCGTGCTCATCGTCCTTGGCCTTGCAGTCCTCGCTCTCATTGTCCTCCACCCAATCAGCCGCGAGCCTCTGAACGTCCGGCAGCACCTCGCTGAACAGACGGCTCAACATTGTGGCAAGCAACCTGCAAGAGACAAGCAACACTTCAGCTGAACCGTACTGCGTCCTCTGCTGCTGCTGCTGCTTACGCACCCATAGGTGCACTGTAAAGCAAGAGAACCTGCCTCAGGGAGATCCCAGAAGGCCCTAGGCTACCCAGAGGAAAATGGACTATTATTCCGTTAACGCTTCTATCATATAATTGAAGGCCAACACTTCTTTAGACAGCATTTCATCTCTATTATAACACTTTTCGATTACAGATTATAACCTGCTTTAATATCTCTGGGCCATTTGCATAAAACAGTTATAATCGATCTTTCTCTCATCTTTGAGGGGATAAGGCTGGTCCAACATCCGGGCAACGACAGACTGGTTGACTATAGGAAATATTGATGAAGGCAAACATTTTGTCACCTTAAGAGGAAATATTGAAACCACAGTTTCCATGTTTAATCTGATATTGATCCGGTTAATTCATATGGGATTAAACAGAATTTTCTTCATAAAATTGGGCCTTTAAACGTATAAATCTTGTATCTTTTTAATTATTCGACATATAAGAAAGATTCATAAAAGAGTGCATGTTGTTTTAAAATTTCCTGTAGTAAGATCGGATCTTTTTAATGGCAGGCAGCAACAGTATGGGCCACCGCCTCGGCCTCCACATGTGCGTCGGTCTGTCCCCTCCAGCAGTCCGGCACTGGGAGCGGTGCTGCCCCCCCACCCCCACCCCCCCACCCCAGGGACGCATTAAGGGTGCGGTCCCTCCTCCGTCCTATAAATTAACCAACCTGGAGGAATTCCAGCACAGTCAGGCTGCACACTGGAGTACAGGATCCCCAACACCTCTATGTCTCTGAATTAACAGGTTTTCACCCCCAAACCACACTTGAGAAGATTTCTGTAATTAAAAATACACATCATTCTGTGTGACTCGTCCGAGATATTTCAGAAAGCGAAGTGGTAATAACGATATTGAAATGTGCCTTTAGGACCAGAGCCTCTGCAGGTGCACGAGGCTAATTTTGGACACCACTCAAGTTCACGTAGGCCACTGACCAAACGTTATCTGACGTATTTTTATTTTTTATTTTTTTTGGCTGAACTTTAGTCAAGTCTGAGAGACAGTGGAGATGGAGTATTTTAGATCTTTTTAATTTCATAGACGTCTTTCTTTTCCTTGATTAAAAAAAATGCAGGTTTTAGGTTAATCAAAGCTCAGGCACGAGGCCACGTTTTAACATCATATTTTCTAACACTAAAAAAGCTTATTTACTGTGATAGATTCACGGTGTCATGTTGACCAATAATGCCGACTAAATAAACTATTTTAATTTAAAAGGTATAATCCCATCATATTTCCCCAGTATTATGAGCTCAGCTGTGCGCGTGGAGGCCAACGACGGATTTTTTTTTTCTAATCTTGTAAGCACAATGTAATTAATGCCAACCAATACCTTGTCAATTAGCCTGTGTATCTCTACGGAGAATTCTACCCCCACGGTGCTCTGAAGCGCGTCGTGCTAACACACACACACACACACACACACACACACACACACACACACACACACACACACACACACACACACACAAATAAAACATAACAAAATAAACTCTGCGGTTCTCGTTTTTCTAAGATAACACAGTTGAAATGACAGTAAAAAGTGCCAGCCAGAGTAGCCTTTCTTTCTCTTATAAAGATGAATATGTGTTTATGGATTTAGGCAATTGAAACGAAATCTATCAAATTAAACGTAGGTGGATCAATATCTTCGATTAAAACCAGCGATAAAGATCCTGGAGAGGACATTAAAAACCTCTCTATTCACGTCGCCCGCGAAGAGAAATAGTCCCTTATTCTAACACATGGTTTAATGCATAAGATTATCCCTGTCTGTTACTAAAACACTAATTTCCCTCTTCATCGCACAACACAAAGACGAAAGCAAATCTAGATCTATATCTGATATTCTAAGAAATTGTCTTGGAAATGTGCATATCCTACCTCCGTGGTGGGGCTCAGTGAAGGGGCGAAGCGGGTTTGTTTACACCATCTCTCTCCGGGTGGGCATCACATCCACACGCCCTGCACGGATGCTTGTGCAGGCGAGGCTCTGTTAGTTGTGCTCTCACACCTCTCTCTCCTCTCCTGCCACCCTGCTCTGTCTCTGCTGCTGCTGCTGCTGCTGCCGCCGCCGCCGCTGCTGCTGCTGCTGCTGCTGCTGCTGTTGCTGCTATCCCCAGCCCAAACGCGTGGAGGGAGCCGTGTGGCACGTCAGAGGCAGGACTGGATGGGTTACATACCAGCTCTGATGCCAGGCCCATATGGCTGGCACGTCATTGGCAAGAGCCATCACATGAGAGCCGGTGATTGACATGCGGCCGCATTCACAGAGACTGGCTTCCCCTGGGGGAGAGGGACTCGCCATCTGTCACTGAGCTGAAAGAGAAAATGGAATAAGGAGTGAATGGCACACACAAAAAAAAACAAAAAACGCACTGGATTCAAACCGCTTCTGTTAGCCTCCATCTTTGGGAGGAAAAAAAAAAACGGGGTTAATCTCATATAGAAGGTTTAGGAAAACAATCCCCTTATGAGAAATAATTATAGTAATCCCATAATAATACATTTACAGTGATATCATTCAAATTTTAGGCGACAGCAAAACGAGAATCCTCCAACTGGATTGTTATAGGATTACTTATAGGCTAATGATTTTGTTGGATAAGAAAAAAAAACTGATTCATAAAGCTACAAATAATCCACATAAGCCCTATGGGAAAATTAATTAAATGTTTTAGTGATAAATAGTCTAAAAGGATCAGCTAAACACTGTAAATCCCTATAGAAATATCATAAGGAAAGGCCAAGTTTACAACTACAAGAAATAGACAGTTAACACTACCGGGTCCACACAAAGGCCTGGGATAAATAAGGGACCCGCCATAAAGATCAGAGTCAGGGTGCAATTGCCTAAACGAGTCATTTGAACTGAGCTAAGCAGAGCGTCTTGGTTTGGGTTGCCAGGCTTGGCACAGGTGCCTGTGGGCGGGCTGGTGCCAAAGGTGGCTGAGGCACAGATTGCAGAGAGGGGCCAGAAGATGGGGCAAGACAAGAGAGAGGAAGAGAGAGAGAAAGAGAGGGAGGAATAAGAGTGAAAGAGACCAAGGGGAAGAGGGAGCAGGCTTGTCATTACCACCGGGCTACAGTTTACTGGACACTGTCCCCGCACAGTTTCTCTGTTATCAGTGAAACAACCAAAAAATGCTTGAATTGAGAAGCGAATGGCAGTATTTCTGGTCATGGCTGCTCACTCCCATCTTCCGATGAAGACCTAAAGCCAAGGTCACGCCCCAACACGGTGTCCCAGGGACATGGGCATAGACGTAGATGTAAAGAGTGGTCAAAATGAGTTAACAACACAATCTTTTTGTCCATTGTAAATCAGCCTTTAGTCAACAATACTGCCATCCTTTATCATTCTCAAATAACATAGGCTACATTTCAGATTACATAGATGTTGTATTAATGACCTTTATCTCCAAAGGTCATGTAGATTTCCCAAGTGGTATAATGACAATACAGACATAGACGCAACCTCTTACTCGTCATCACTACAATTATACACATCAAATTCACGTTTGACAAATAAAGAAGTGAAGATGTTTCCCAATAAAACAACAGTTTAATCATGATGATTTTTTTTCTATAATTTTGAGGTTTTCATCATCGTGTTTTATGATACAAACCATAATGCAATTCCTTCCACAGCTTAGTGTCAATCAATAGTGGACAAATTGACACTGTTTTCGTGACAATTAAAACCTAGAGATATCTGGTTTGTTGTATTGTTTCATTCATGTTAGTTTTTTTTTTTTTATTTAAGCGGTAAATGTCAGGAGGAGTTTTGAAGTTACAAACAAGGGTGAAACTTAAACTTTTTAAGTCTTGGCATTTTATAAGTAAAAGCAATTCTCTACACATTATCAGACAACTGCGTGGTTGAGTTCACAGGAGCAGCCGGTCTCAGGCCATGTGCTTTCTCAGGCGACGTGTGGGTGACATCTACTGGTCAACACAAGCTGGTGCATGGCTGAGAGAAAAAAAAAAAAAAGAAAAGTTAAGTGGTTATCCCTGCTACAGGACGTGGAGTGAGGATTTCATTGTATACTCACTTTCTAGTAATTAGAGTGTGACAACAAAAATGTGGAAATGTGTCCATCTTCGCAAATGATATTGTTATTTGAATAGTTGCACCTGTCTTCATCAGATGCACAATTTTTATTCCAGCATGTTTAACTTTGGCACTGAGTTTTTATTTATTTATTTATTTTTTATTAATTACCTGAAGTTTTCATACTTTTACTCAGTATCAAATATGTTGTTTGAAATTTTTGGAAAAATAAATTAAATGTGTTAACTAAATATTATCACCCAGAATATTCAGATTTGATCATGAACATTTGCAGTGATTGTATAGATGCCTGTCTCTGTTAAATACAAGCATTTGGTTATGAGGGAATGTTGCAAGTAGGTTGGCTCCCCCCTGTGGTAGTATGAACAATCGCATTGTGGCCGACTGCATTATTGATAGAAACGCTAATGCATAAAACACATTCATCTTTTATGGTTTTAATACTATAATCCTGTAGATTATTTCTCTGCCGCTCTGTGCATTTAGATGCTATCTGAGTGATTGATTGTAGCAGGTGTTGTTGTGTATTTGCATTCACATAAATCTTCTCTCCCTTTCACTGAAAATGCATCTTCTGTTTTCAACATTAGAAGTCCTATATCACACCTCGACGCACGGTGTTGCAAAATGCTCACGAGAAGCCCATATGTTCGTTTTTCAAGGTCAACAGTTGAAGTGAAAGTGAACCGAGCCACAGATGGCTTGTGTTTAAATTTCCAAGGTGGAAGTTTTACTTTTTTCCTCTGAAGACCTCTCCCAGCAGGTCTGAGTTTGCTGTCAGCAGCTACTCTCCCTTGAGCTGGCGGAGATCCAGAGCCTTTCTCAAGTTCACTTCGGCACAGGGCGTACCAGTGGGCTCGTGGGAACTGGGATCAAAACGCGGGAGCCCCTGGTTACAGGATGGTCTGCTACGTGTCTGATCGAACTGCATGAGAGCCGAGCATTTACCGAGCCACAAGGAACATGAACGGTTAGTGTGGTACGAATGTGTGAAACTCCCAAAAGTCTCAGTGAGCAAAAAAAAAATATATATACCCACAAAACGAAAAGCCTCCTTCTCTCTCCTCGCATGCAGACTTCTCGCCTGTTAGGTTTCTCTCCCCTTCCTCTCTGCGTCCTTGTGTCACCTCTCCTCCCTCTCTCCCTCCACGTTGACTCTTTCTTGAGTTTAGTTCAGCTTTTAATACTCTTCAGCCTCATTTATTACAGGACAAATTGAAACAGATGTATGTAAATTCTTTCATTATCTTAATTCTCAGATGACACTGCCATTCTCGGTTTACTACACAGGGACCCAGAGACATCGTTCTACCACTCTGAAATGAGACAATTTGAGGATTGGTGTGACGCTCACCACCTTGTTGTGACCTTGAAGAAAATTATGGGGTTGATATTTGATCCGTGGTCAATCTGCGATCACAATCCAGGACTCGTTCATAATGTTCCCATAAATCAGCTAAGTAGATATCTTGGTGTCAATATCAATAGTTCGTTCACATGGCATGTCCATTTTTTGAAAACCTTTGTTCTAGTCAACAACAGATGATGTGCTTCTTGAGAAGGCCCAGATTTTATATAACTATATAACTTATGTTTCTGTTTTATCAAACGATCCCAGAGAGTGTAATTTGATATAGCGGGTCACCTGGCAACACAGTTACAGTACAAGCTCCCACGTCTCATCCAGACAGCAGCATGAAAATCATAGGGACAAAAGAACATCACTGTCTTCAGTCCTTACACGAGAAATCTGTGCTTAACTGTGGATTTTGAATCCACAGTGCACTGTGGATTTTATTCTTGTGTTCATATCTGGTTTTATTAGAGAATTATTGTCCTCTGTCACAATTTATTATTGTACCTGGTTTTATAATATCTAATCCCTCTTTTTATCACCCTGTCTCACATTCAACATGTGATCCTGGGCACGTTTTGTAGAGGTTTGCATGTATGATTTATGTACTTGGGCACATGTGCATTGTGACGTTGTTGTGTTAGGTGATGGAGCCCAGGGCAAGTTTCCCCTGTGGAATGATTAAGTGTGCCTTACCTTATCATACCATACCTTACCTTACCTTACCTTACCTTACCTTACCTTACCTTATCATACATTACCTTACCTTACCTGACCTGACATTGTCTGATACTGACATAATGTGCTAAAAGTTGGGTGAGGATTCATATGGAAGTCTGTACTGTCAATCCAATGCATTATTGTCACCAAAATGTAAAGTGAAATGAATCTCTTTTTCTCTTCCTGCTCCCTGTATGTTTTGGTTATACATTTGCATAGTCGTTTGCACACTCGTACCCAAACTGCCTCTCCTCTGTTCTCAAACTTACTCTCAAGCACACACCAACACAGGCATACACACCGCACTCGCTGCTCTGCCAACACTCAACTCTGTGAAGAGAAACTGTTTCCATGGCAATGAATTTCCCAACTGACCACCTCGTTTACTATATATCAGATAGCCTAGGTAGCCACTGGGGAATGAGCAGATAAAATCTTTGACTCTACACTAAAGCAAACACACACATCAACGCTGTTTCAATTATAAAGGGACTTCAAAATGATTTGTTGATAAAAGTGGATCTAGATGTTTTAAAATCAACCTGGTCCTGTTGTCTGCACTAATCTTTCAGCCCCTCATAACAAGATGAGAGCACAAATGAACACGTGTGGATGTTGTGCATGTACAGTACCTTGCAATTGCAAAGTGGTCCACTGTCAGAAATGGAAATTGGGTCTGCTATTTTCCCATCTCCCTTAAATGCTGCATCTATATTGAAATACAATCTCCAAATGCAGTCCGTTTGTGCCAAGAAGATCAGAAACAGCCAACGATGATGTTTCTTGATATTTATACTCAATAAAATAGGTGCTATTGTTATTTAAACACTTAAGTTTGACTCAATCTGCCTTCAATTGCGTGTCAAATTACTGTTATTCCTAAATTAAAATGTAGTTTTTTTTCCCTATTATCTCAGTATCATTTAATATTTGTAACTTTACAGACCCTTGTGGAGGTTGCACTTTTTAAATGAACTCTGCTTACAGTTAATTGTCTTTATGTATATCTTTAGATTTCAAACGATACGTTTTGAACCTGTGTGACATTGAAGGCATCTCGACAGTTTTAGAAGCGTCTTATTTTCAGCCCATCTCAAGGGAAATTGCTTTCTGGGCCACTTTTGAACTGCAGTTGAAGCAAGTTTCCGACACTGTACAGACACAGTAGGACAGAGAGACGTACTAAATGAAGGGTGAGCGCGTGTGTGTGTGTGAGAGTGAGAGAGAGAGAGAGAGAGAGAGAGAGAGAGAAAGGTAGGGAGGGAGGGAGACGGAAAGGCGTGAGAGAGGAGGACGCAGGCAAAGCTGACAAACGCAACCCAAGAGTCCAACGAAATCTGCTGGGACAGAAAGAAAGCGCTGGTCATTTACAGTTAATTGATTTAAAAATATACCCACATTATTATTTGTTTTGTTTGTTCTTTTGTTTTTGTTTTTTGTTTTGCAGTTTGTGACATTAGAGGAGTCGCGCAGCTTACACAGGCAGTTAAATCGGAAGTGACTCCACTTGGACTTTTTTTTTTTTTTTTTTTTTTTTGACCATCTGTGCGCTCGGCTGTGGCGGTGTCAGGCTGGATGCCATGGACCCGCTGCTCCCCGCAGACACGGAGGTGATGGAGCGAGAGGAAGACAAGGATGCGAAGAGGAAGATCCAGTTCTCCGTGCCTTCCTCCGTACCCACCCAGCTGGACCCGCGACAGGTGGAGATGGTGAGAGCGTCATGTGCAGCCTCTAGGGATGAGGATGATGGTGGTGGGGGTGGGGGTGAGGGCGTGTGTGGAGGAATGAGGTCAAAACCTGGGTCAACATAGTAGCCTACATCAGCAGTTTTTTTTTTTTTTTTTTTTAATGCAGCCTGAAAGTTAATATATAAACACATAGACACTTTTCTAGTGTAACGTTCAAGTGCGGACTGCTTCGTGTCTTTGAGACTGTCGGTAGTTAGAAGTTCCTCCTGCTGTGAAAGTAACGGCTGAAATGTGACACACGCTTGCCTCCAAGTTCAATCACGACTCGTGTCTGTGAGTGTTACCCTCTTCTGTGGCATCTGAAGCATCAGGCCCTGCCACCGAGGTTGACAGACAGTTACGTAACCCGTCTAGCACGACTTTGCAGAAGTCTGTATTTTGATGTTGCGTATTAGGACTCTGTGGGCAGCAGGGTATGGGCAGCACTGGGATTAAGCTGAGCTGTGCAGCCTCAGTTTTTTTTTTTGGAGCCCTTAAAAAGTGATGAGGCATCTCTGCCCTTCAAAAGGATTGGAGGAGGAGGCGAAAGAGGAGGAAGATGAGGAAGTGAGGGATAAAGCACTGTTAGTAATATTAAAAACAAGATTATGTGCCTGAGTAATAATGCCCTTCCCACATCTGTGAGGAAAAATGGCAGGTGTCGGGTTGTTAGACATATATTCCAAAGAGGTGGTGAGTGCATAATGTAAAATAAACAAGTCTGATTGCTGTAGTTTATGCTGAATCATCCCAAAGCAAAGAGCAGGTGAACATGCTGACATGGTCAGACAGAAACTATGTTAGTGAAATAGTGCAGTGTGAACAGGAATAATGTTGGCCTGTGCAGTATGGGAGCAGCTATTACATCTGGCACCAGCCCATAAAGGTCATCAAGGTATAGACTGAGATAACTTTTGGTTAGATCTATGTGATCCAGTAGGTTTCTCCATTTCCTCTACTTTCAAGACAAGAGACATTCATGTTTTAATGGCGGGCTGCTTCCTAGAGCGAAATCTCATTGGCACCCAAGTGCAATGTCAGAAATCTTGATTTCTCCCCAGCAGAGGATTTGGAAGATTCCAATTGGGCATCTGTTTGGAAAGCTTGTTTCAGACCGGAAAGTAAAAATAAACTAATAAATCAGTAATGTCTAGGCGCTCAAATATTTCTCACACATCTGTTGTTTACAGCCCAACTTGCAGTCTCTAGGGCTTTGGACTACTTTCTTTACCCTTTCTAGTGCTGAACCATTCCTTCATTTGCTTTACTAAGCAGCCCCACAGGTCTTGAAAATCTAAACACATTCCTTCAGAAACACTTCTGAACATTTTTGAGTTAAAACAACAACATCTCATGGTAATTATACTCAAATGATCCAGGAAAGGTTCACATTACTAGCATTGCTCATTACTTCTGTTCTCCCACATGAATCTCACCTCCTTAAATGCTCATTGGCAGCTTCACGTGGGAACAAGTGCTAAGTCAGTTTCCCTATAAGATGCTCTGGCAATTTGCCGGCTTACAGGGCTGAGTAAGATTACTTCAAATCTTCCACCGTGGATCTAATGAGAATAAAAGCAGCAGCATTCCCTGGTAATGCACGCAAACAGTCACAAGGTTACTACGCCGTAATACGTCTTAGGATGAGTCTTCTTATAGCCACCAAAGTCACCCTAAATCTGCTGTTGCAATGTACAGGAAATAAGAAATTCTGCAAAGTTGAAGATACCAGAATTCCAGCTGAGGGGATAAAGTCATTCAGCTGCAAAATCATTTTTATAATCCATTTTCCGGGCTGCCTGCATGAGAGTCTTTCTCCTTCCTTCTTATTTTCTAGCTGACCACTGTTTCCCAGCAGAGTAGGCGGCACCATGGTGATTAGAAAAATCGCCTAATGGCCATGTCATCTGGGGTGAGACTCAGCTGTACTCGAGACATGCTGCAAACCAGTACCCCTCCTAGATTAAAAAAAAAAAAAAACTCAGTATGTTGCAGTTGCCTCTGGGACGGGGGTTCACTTACCCCCTAACTTGTAATCTACCGCTGCTTAGATTCCTGAGGATTTGATGAATTATTCACTCAAGCGTGACTGTGCAAGAGTCAAGCAAAGCTGCTGTTACCAAGATGGTCGTCAAAACCAAAGCCTTCTCGTCCAGCCCTCAGAGATTTGGTCGGGGGGGGGAGGGGGGGGGGGGATCTCGTCCTTGTGTTACCCTTGTGAAAGGCTGACCATGCTTTCCACTCACACTGATAGTGACTGAAAGCTGTGGGAGTTGGGACCAGCAGAACAGCTGTCTATAAGGGCTAGTGTAAGGCTAGCCAAGTGCTTGTGCACAACTTTTCCACAATGCAGCCATAACATTAGCATTGAAATGGCAAGCAGAAGCTTGGGAAAAGAAACAGGTAGACGGAAGTGGAAGGTGTGGGTAGGAATGAATGAAACAAGGTGCTGAGAGGGACAATGGGAAGAAAAAAAAAGAAAAAGAAAGATAACTCGGAGAAGACAAGTAAGAAAAGGAGAGGGAGAAAAATCATCAGCCAAGGAGATGAGTGATTAAAACCAAAGAGATTAGCTGTGGATGACTGAGGCCTGAATCAAGGGCAAAGACAGCTCATGCCAAGAACAAATTTTCACCACAGCACAGCCAAGAGCTCTAAACTCCAGTAGGGTCTTATTCAACAAAGCCATCATTCCCCATGCTGCCCCTGTTATCACATTATTCTCTCATACAGACTGGGGCAGATGCATACAGTGACCAGCTGCAAATGTCTGGGTAGAAGGTAGGTGCTTGCTACTGAGGAAGACACAGTAACTGTGTGTGTGTGTGTGTGTGTGTGTGTGTGTGTGTGTGTGTGTGTGTGTGTGTGTGTGTGTGTGTGACTGGCGCGTCCTCTCTACAGCCCAGGCCTCTACTGCAACAACACTGTGTTTCCATCCAAGTCGTTTGGTTGAATAAAGGTTAAAATGAGGCGTTGGCTCACTGGAAAACAAAGGTCAAATGGCAGGAGTGGGTATGATTCATGTTTCCTTGAACGTGTCGTGGTCAAATCAAGCTCGACACAGGATTATTCACAGAATAAATTGAAAGCATCGCATGAACACGACATCGCTGCGTGGTCCTGATTGTTAAGTGGACAGGTTATTTCTGTATCAAGGGCTCCTTAGGACACTGTACCCACACAGTGATGTAATTGTGCATTATAAACCTTCAGATTAATGTATTGAAGTTGAATGTTAGGTAACCATGAAGGTCATCCTACATACCAAAAATGAGACAGGGCGGGGGGGGATTAGTGATTTACTACGTGAGGTCCTGTGCTACTACAGCATGGCTGGAGATGCAATATTTCTAATTTAGCTGGATAGGAAATAAATAAAAAAAAAATGCAGAAAATCAGACCAGAAACATTTATAAACAAACCGGACGTGCACAGTTGGCTTAGAGTCTGGTCCAGCTGTCCTCACTCTCACTGGCATGTTGTTCTGTGATTGGTTGCACCAAATATGATGCGACCTCTCTGGCTACGTTAACACGTTTTTGTAGAGTGTGAGCAATCTGAGTAGAGAGTAACCTAAAATGTTTCTGTCATCCCTTAACTTGTAAAAAAAATAGCCTAAAATATTATGTGTTTCTTTCCAAATTAATCCCAAAGGCACGTCTCATTCACTCTTGGTTTGCTGTTACTCCAAGAAAAAAGCTGAATTATTAAATCATTATTGGGCCACTAAAATGCATTTGTCTAACAATGATAAATCAAAAATCAAAACAAATCCCCAAAATCCCTTATCCCCAAATTTCTCTAGTCTGGTAGGTTACATACTAACCCATGTAGCCCATTCAAGAAGCTCAAATCAGTCTCCCCAGTCGCAGCCACACTGAGCTACCGCTGATATTTAACAGGCATTTGCAGCCGTGCACAACAAGGCTCAAACGACAATACCATGTTCCCTGCAGGTGCTTAACCTCCTGCCTGCAGTGTTGACGAAACACTCAGAAAAGGTCAGTGTGTCTGAAAAGGCTTTCAGACAGGTGCAGGACACAATGGCGGTATGCTTAATTCTAGTGGGTGAATATGTATGAGTCCAGCACACAGAGGGAGGCCGAAGCAGTGAGAGTTACTCCAACGTGAAAGCTGCCCACACATTTCATGCCTACACTCTCAGCTGTGAATGGCTTGGCGGCTGCTCGTACCTCACGACGATCTTTATCAACATAACATGTTACAAAGAGAGAGAGAGTGATGAATAAGTTGTGTGTATCATAACACCTTTGGTTATCGTTAGCCAGAAGAATGTGTTTTACGGTTGCTTGTATTTTAACAGGAATAATCCAAGGTTGGCGTAGTTTGCTTTTAAACCATAAAAATAGGTGCTCATGCTCATCTCTAACTAAACCCTATTGTGTTATAGGTGTCTTCACACTCCAGACTGAGGCTTTAAACACCTTAAAAACTGGCTGCAGAGCTCGGAGTCAGATGTTTTTGAACTGAACAATAGAATGAGACCTTTTAGCTTCAGCTAGTGAGTATTAAAAGAAAAAGTACTCAGAATATATACACAGTGGCACCTACCAGTGTCACATTATTGTATTATTTGATTATCGAATACCAAACATATAAGGAGTACTTAAATGTTGGTCAACGTGGAGTTAATTTTAAATACTTGAGGGGCAGTTTAATCACTATCAGTCCATTAAATTCTAAGCAGAGATAATATATTTTGTTTTTAAAAATCTTCATTTGAAAAGGAACTGCTTTAGCTGTCAGAAATGTTAAAACTATAACCAAAATCCTGGCTTCAGTGTAGGTTCAGTGTAGGTGGAATTGGACAAATGCATTCACGGTGAATAACTGAATAAATTGTAATATTTTGAATGATATTATTGTCAAGCTGTGTTGTGCAACAGTTTCTTTTTTTTAATCATAGCAGACTGAAACTGATTTGAGATATTGAAGTCACATTTCATCAGTTGCATAACCCTTGGTTTGTATGACTCACACTGCTTCAGACAGAATAAAAGGAAGATGATGAATCTGCAGGAATTCAGATAAAGAGTATGTGTTTTTGAGTGGCGACATCAAATTCTATTCAACAGCAAAAGAAAAGTCCGACACTAGCACTTATGTGAGAGCTGCGATGACACCTGGAGATGATTTTACACAGTTTATATAAACTCTGCTTTATATTCATTTTACTGCAGGCGTAATTAAAAGATTGAAAAACAGCAAAAGTGTCTTCCCCTTATGAAGTGACTATGAAGAGTGTAAAACATAAATAACAGAATACCAACGTTTAAACTGTGAAACAGCCGCCGGCCAATCACTGAAGGCAAGAGAGCAATTATTCCACAGTATGATGTTAGATTGTTGAAGAGGGTAAAAGTAGAAGTAGACATTCATCTCTTGTGGAAATCACACAGTGGGCAGCAGAACTGAAAAACATCAGTGATTACAAGCCAAGCGATGGGAACATGCAGGAAAATAGAAAGCAAATTTAAGTAATCCAGCCGCCATCTATGACAAGATGTAATCCTCATTCACACACAATGTGGACAACAATCTTGAATGAATGTTGTTGTATAATTTAATGCATAGTTGCCATGGAAAAAAATCCTCAGTAAACACAACGTCAAGAATGACAAGATAGTTGTGAGCTGCACAGTTGTGACATTGTATCTGCTAACCAGACATTTTTTTTTTGCATAATATACACACAACTACACAAATTCTCACAGAGCTCTCTCTCTCTCTGTCTCTGTCTCTCTCTCTCTCTCTCTCTTTGCAAAGATCCGACGTCGGAGGCCGACACCGGCTACACTCTTCAGATTGACAGATCCACCTTCACCGGACGAAGACAGCGGCCCCCATCAGGTAGATCAGCTGGTGTGCACTCTCTGGGAATCAAAACCGAGCGACTTTCAGTGAAGGTCCGGTGATTTCAAGGGGAGGAAGAGATGCCAGTTCTCTCTCTGATCGTCGTCTCGCTACATCAGAACATAATTGCGATGAGAAGTCGCTGTGTTCTGAGTGAGGGGGATGAGATTTTATGTTGTCTTGATTGTTAAACCCTCACTACGCTGTCAAGCTCTGTGTGTACACCAAATTGATTGTTGCGATGTTTGTTCTGTGGCGGCTGCAGAAGAGTATTCCCCGAAGGCCGGAAATTCGCTTTGTATTATGTATTATGTGGGTGCACAACAACAGCAAATTCTCCTTGGAACTAATGCTGTTTCCTCAGATTGATACCAAACCATATATATGACCATATATATGAGTTTTCCTTTTAAATTGCAAACAAAGTTTCAATGTGAGTAACACATGTTGTGCAGTGAGTGCAACCCTACTGACCCTAACCCTAGAACAGGCAAAATGGGATAAAGTGCTTATTTAAATGAACTTTTTCCCTCTCTTCATTGACTCTGGGTTGTATCTCTCTTACATTAGACTCTTCCATCTTGAAGGAATGTGTCATCTTTTCTGCCTTCCTCCCACATGCCAACAACAATCTACTGTATTTCATGATTGATGTGAACAGTATTTTGAGAAACCCCACTGATGTAACACTAAAACGTATACTGGATGTTTCACAGTGGGTTCTGGGGGAAAATGGAGCCTTGAAAGCCAAACTGGTCCATGCGTCCACCTACCAGCCACCCTCACTTAAAGGTAAGTGCTCTGTCTCCAGAGTTTGTGTCAACACAATATTTGTGTTTTGAATTTACGTAACAAATGACAACGAAATGAGTGAATTTGGGAGGCCTAATTCTGGCATTGCCATGTGGTCTATATCTGTTTGGAATGCGTGCGTATCCAAAAAAAAAAAAAAAAAAAAAGAAAACACAGTGAGAGGTGTGTGTCTCTGCGTGGGTCTCCATGTGTGTGAATGTGTGTGTTATGTGTGTGTTATGTGAGATTAGGAGCAGAGACAGCTGTGAGTCTGTTCTGGATCATCCTGGATTATAGGATGGGCACACAGCTGCAACATGGTCACACACACACACACACACACACACAAACAGAAACACCCATAGTCACACTAAAATATTACTATTTGGTATGAATATATAATCTATTATTGTTTATCTTCTGCTTCTTGGGAATTAAGGATTGTACCCCTGCAATCATGACTGCTGTTTCTCGTAATATCTGTTTTACTGAAATTTGATCAGTGTGACATATAGCATTTCACATCATGATGATACCTGTACAATTTTACATAACGGCAATACAATCTCTTTATTTCTTAAGATACCAAATATCATCTGCCACAATGAAAAATGAAAAAAAAAAAACATCTGAATGCTTGAAATGCTCAAACATGGGACCATATCAGTTTGAGATGCATATTAATACACAGGGGTGAAACACAGGCACTATGTATGTATACAACTCAGGTGGGGGCACAAATGCTATAACAGAAGATCATCAATACATAGGCTTCTATATTTTCATTGGTGGGAATTATGACACATATCTCATCTTCATGTGACTTAAGCACATCCAAACCTTGATTTGACAACCCCCAACAAAGCTTGCCTTTGCTGACCTTCAGTAGTTTAACTTCTCACCTTGCCGCAGTGATGTGCAGGTGTAGTCCAGGACTACGAGACATCGCTGTTGAGTAGTAGTGACAGGTGCAACAAAGCAAACTTCTGACCACACCCAACCAGTGACAAGCAAGTGACAGAGGTAATAATTGATCATAATAATAGGTAATAACTAAGAATATAGTTTCAAATTAACAAGAGGCAGCTGTCAGAGCTCCACCCTCCTTTTTTTAAAATTTTATTATTTATTGAACCACTGGCTCAGTCATTAAAGCATATCCTTTAAATACAGGTTTGACAATGGTGCAAGCAGCAAAAGAAAGTCAAAGCACAAACCTAAATGCAGGCACTAATAATCTCCATCCATATCCATCCATCCATTATGTCCGTTAAAGGGGTAAACTGAGCTTTATTTGTGAAATCAAGTCTTTTTTCTCTGTATTGATTTGTATTCCCAGCTGTCCAGAGGATGGCCCAGGCCCACCTGGCCTCCCTAGACAGAGAGGACCCCTCCTCTGCGGAGGAAGAAGAGGAAGGTGAGAAAAAGAGCCAGCAGTCAGACTCAGCTACAGGTGGGGTCTTTCACATTACGCCATTTTTCTATCTCACACTGGCACTTGCACCAAATATAGATGTAGATTGCTTACACATCTGAAATCTCTTTCTCGTCAGATCTAAGAGGAGAAAGCAGACCGCTCAGGGATCAATGTACTCCGTCAGACATTTCAACAGTAAGTGTTGATCTCAGCCGTCACCACGGAGACGAGGAGGAGGCCAAAGAAAGAGAGGAAGGAAAGGGAGAATGACAAAAGAAGACGAAGCTCTGATGGAGTGTTAGTGAGGAAGCCGACTTGCATAGCACATGTGTGGGCATGCATGGGTGTATGTATGAGTGTGTGTTAGATGGGTCTGTGAGTGTGTGCATGCATGCGACAGGAATGTTGAATGTGGAAAAGAGAGAGAGAGAGAGAGGGAGAGGGAGAGGGAGAAAAAAAAAACAGACGGGCATCGAGAAAGGTCAGAATGTTAATAAGCTGTTCATGAGGAAAAGTTTAACCTGAGACTTTGCGAAGGGAATCACGTCTTCGGTCAGCCGAGGAAGCCAGAGCTAAATTCCAATCAGCCAAGGACACTGCACCAGAAACATGAGAACTGCGGCGTTTTCTCTTGCAATTACATGTGTTTGTTTGTTTTTTATATAAGCTCAACAGGATTCGAGATATCAACATGTTTTCCTGACAATTGCTCCACGGGACAAGTTTTCCATAGAACTCCATCCACGTGCGAAGCATCGGATTCAGAATGACCTTTTATTTGCCAAGTCAAACATACTGCACAGGTCACTGGTGCTCAAACGCGCACCTCGAGAACAATAAGAAATAAAGCAGAAGATGCATACGGCTTAGGACAGTACCTCCCTTTTATGCAAGGGGACAAGTAATATGCACCTGAAATAACCATGTGTATACTGTGCAAATGTATAAAATTCAGTTTTATCTGTTGTGTAATGGCAGTGTAGTGTTGTTGCAGCAGAGAAGCAGTGTTGTTCGAGGCATGTGATGAGGCTGTTGTCTCATACTGTGTGGGCAGAAATTCTGAGTAATGTCCCGGGGTTAGCATAGTATATAGATATGATAAACTATAAAATTATATACAGTATAATACACATTATATTACAGTGTACAAGGGTACAAAGTCAGACTCATTCAAAACTCAATCTGGGTCACACAAGGCTGCCTCTCAAGTTGAACTCTCAGTTTGAGTCTGATTGCAGACGATTTGAGCGCAGTCGCAGCCACAGCAGACCAGATTAAATCATGTCACCCTAATCCAACTAATCGTGATAATGCGGCACAGTTGTACCGGTTTCATATTTGCAACATGGCGATTAGCAAGCATGATCTGTGTCAGATAACAAAGATGGTGCGGTAGGTAGGAGCTGAAAGTAGATCTATATTTTCGAAAAACAAATATATCCGTGATGAGGATTAAGGTTCGTTCATGGCCCTGTATGTAAATAATGTTTTGTGTTTGGTTGCTAATAAAACAATTATAATGGGCTGCTGGTGTTTGTGTGATTGTACGCCTGAAGAATTCGACGTGGAGTGGGATTTGTGCATGTGACGAAGTGTATGTGTTCGAATACAGCAAATGACAGCAGACAGGGAGTTTCATTAAATCAGAACCCCGAACAAGTTTTTGCACTTTATTTTTTTACCATTTGTGTTCCTTACCACTGCAGGGTACTCCCTCAGAGAATCATCAATAAGAAAAGAACGGCAGTTTTATTTAGACACATTTAATATCCCTCAAAATTAGCCAAGTCAGAAAACATAGAAAAGATATTTTGGTTTTTATATTTATCTTTGTTCAAATCAAATCTATCAACAATGTATGAGCAATATTACAGATGTGGTTTGGGGTCCTTGACTGATATTTTCATAGCCACACAATATGGTCAATTACTGACACCCAGTGGTGAATACTTCTAATTACACAGTTCATATTTGATATATGATGTTATAAATAACATTGATCCGCATAGCAAATATTAAGATTAATCCATGGAGCTGAAAGCATAAGCAATCATGAGCCATTTTTTAAACCCTTTTCATTCTTAGTCCCATTATCATATTTACAATGCTGTCAACCATCTCTACTTCCATCAAGTTCAATGTCGACAACAAGTTCATATCAACACAATGTGCCCAAAGAAAACATCATGAAAAAAAACCTCTGCTTTAACGTTGCTCCTTTATTCACATTATCACATATTACAAAACACAACAGGCAACTCATCAACCTCTCAACTGAGTAGCAGTTAACTGAAGAGAAGTATATAACATATCAAAATATAGGCCTAATGTATATAAAGAGCTAGAACACTGCTATGTTAAGATACGCCATAAGAACTGAACTGAACTGAAGCATTACATTCTGGTGCTGTAGTTGCTGAGTTTGAACAGCAGGAGGCAATGTGCAATTACGTTTCTACCACCAACAGCTGCTTTGGTAAGGAATGGGAATGTCACGCATCTCATTCACCCTCAGAAATTTACTGGACCAATGAAACAGAGATGAATAAAGTGGAATGTTTCATCCTCATGTTTTGTCCTACAGTTGGATATTTGTAAAATGAATGAGGATCTCTATCAAAGCAACCTCTCACCCAAAAAACACTCTGTAATATGTGTGGGTATTATTAGCATTACAATTAATTCCATTATCATTTCATTTAATTGTTTGCTGTGCTACATCATGCATTTACCTCGGTTTAATCTACAATATTTTCATCAGTAGAGTTACTTCTTTACTGTCACCTTTAATAACCTTTGCCTATCCTATCCATTACCTCCTCTCCTACTTTATCTTTTAGTCCTTTCTTGCCTTTACAAAAAACACCCCATTCACATCATCGACCCCGACCCTCATGTCTTGAGGCAGTGTGTAAACCTCCAGCCGGATCAGAGTAAAGCCGCTCTCCTTCAAACTACCACATACCTCGGCTTCATTCAATGGGACCACAGGGATCTTTACCCCAGGCCCCCCAAAATAGTAACTCTCTCCCAGGGCTCCAATGAGCAGGAGGTGGCCACCGGGCCGCAGGAGCCTCCCAATGTGGCCCAAGGCCCTGGTGAAAGTAGCCAGGTCAGGGCTGACGCTCTCCAGACAGAAGCAGGACACGAGACAGTCGGCCCCTGCTGAAGGAAGGGCGTCCGGAGCCAGAGGCTGCGGGTGATGCACGTCGACTGGGAGGATGTCCGTGATGACCTCACGTAGCTTGGCAGCTTTCTCCATCCATGCTGAAGGGCTGGTAGAGACAATATCAATGAAGCACCAAATAAAATGAAAACAGCCATCCACACGGCATCTAGTTTTGAAAGAGATTCTGTTCTCTGTTTGCACATAACTTAGCATTGCTCCATGGTGATTGCCCTGATTTTTTCACAAGACATTAACACATTACGTTTTGGGAAATGAAACAAACTCTTGTTGAAAAAGAATACCTTCATGTCTGTATGGTAAATATGAAGCTGCGGCCAGCAGCCAGTTAATTTATAGAACACAGACTGGGAACAGATGGCCTGGCGTTGGCTGAAGGTAACAAAACCCCTCATACCAGCATCTAAATTCACCAAGTGACAGGTTATATCATATTTTGTTCAATCTGTAATATATCTTCCAATGTCTTCTTCTGCTAAATGAGATGGCCTAATGAAATGTGAGATGTTATGATACTTTATAGAAGATCACTGACTAATTCTAAGGTTCTTGAAACAAATTAAGACGGATACGATAAGGCTGTAACGCCAGGGTTAGAAGGGGAGAAGGAAGGAGAAGGAAGGAGCTGTATATAATTAAAAGAACAATATATTTCACATTGCAAATACATCTATAAGCATGTTCTGATGGCATTAGTCTATCAACGATCATGTTGTTTGAGAAACTTCCACGCTACGCGGTTTTCTCAAACACAGAGGAAAGGGATCGGGCTGTACCGTCGTCCCTCCAGCTTGCACACGTGCTGCAGGTACGGCGTCCAGTCCAGGTTGCAGCCTTCCTCGTCCTGGAGCCAGCGCCTCAGCTCCTGCCTGTTTACCTCCAGATAGTCTGTGAGGAGCACCTTGTTGAAAACCTCACAGCCGCTCAGCACCTGGTACAAGGTAGGCCCCGAACCTATGTCCACCAGCACCTCGCCACTCACATCTCCTGGGAAAGGTGGAGAACAGAGGAGCAGACAAGAGAAGAATTAGTAGCATCCAGCATCTGTAATACTTACTCCCGTAAAAGTCCCAATATTGGTGTGAAATCAAATTAACACATACTATTACTGAAAACAATTGACTATTTTGAACAGTTTACATCCATCACCCGATTTCTTTACCTTCAGTGAAAGCTCTATGGAGACATGCCAGTTTCCACGGCACAATGCTGTCTTTTCTTTCAAAATCAGCCCGCGGAGGAGTGTAGTTATACTGTAGATACGCTGCAGGATCAAATCTCTGGTAGCAGGCTGCCATGGCCGCCACTCCGTTCTCTTTTCCCTTCTTTTCCATCCTCACTTTGCTGTGTGGCTCTGCCCAACGCTTCCGTTTGGTGGTAAGTGTTCAGGTGCATGACTGCCAACTCAGCCAACTTATATACCTGTGCATGTGCATGTGTATCTGGGTCATTATGTGTGTGTCTGTGCTTTGGGCTGCTTTTGAGTTTCATGGGCAGAGATAGCGATCCTGTTTTTCGGCCTGTGTTGCTGCCTGATAGCATTTGTTCTGTCCACTCTCCCTCGGGCGCTGATACCATCAGATCAAGGGGCTTCCTCCAACACTAGACCTACTAATGGACTCCTCATAAGGCTTTCAGGTCTTCCACTCGTCCCTCAGAGGCCCTCCATATCTCCACAATCATTCTAAAGGGCCTTTTACACTCAAACGATAGACCAGTTTGGTCGCAGGAAACCCTGTTTGAAAGGCACAAACAGGTGTATCTCTAAGACAGTCCCTGTTGGCCATTGTACTTTGGTGATGTTCGCATTGAGTGACAGAGAGATGGGGAACGGTGATTAGTGGCAAGGGAAAGGAAACGTCTCCATGTTGCATTTAAATTACCATATACAAAATACAAAAATGTTAACTACGACACTGCTAAAATATAGGTCAATAAATATAAGGAAACAGACATTTAAATTGTTATGTTACACATCATCTTGTGTATGTTTAAGTATTGATTCAAGCTCATTATGGATGATTACAGAAACATTTTTTTTGATAGGCCTGTGTCTGCATAAGCATGTGGAGGAAACATATGAAAGTATTGGAAATGCTAATTAAAGTTCTGCTTGCACAGAATGTCTAAATCCACAGGTGTTAGAAAAATGACGTGTCCAGGCATAGTTAATTAAAACATGCATGCAGGTGGAGAGTAAGTGCAATATAACACATAGTCATTGATGCTCTAGGTACTGGATGGCTTTCCCAGCCTTGACCACTACAGACAAAAATCCCTCTCTTGTGATGAACTGGATTAAACTTTTAAAGGGCATATCGTTGACCTAAATCGCAGAAACTTGTGGAAACTATGATGACCTCTGGCATATGGAGTTTACATTTAAGATCCACATCAAACCTGACAGAGTTACATCTGCTCCACTACATGAATGCGTATATCCAGTTTCAGTTTGAGCAGACTAAAAATGTCACATACCTCCTCGCTTTACTTCTAGAGAATGGGGGGGGGGGATCTTATTTATTGTTCCATTAAGCCAGCCTCTGTGGCCAGCTGACAAATCACTGGGCACTCTGATTGAATTTATTTACTGTCCATTCTCAGCGTTTCCCAAAGCAGCAGCTGAACTAATGTGGATCTTTGCCATGTAGTCATCAAATGTATTTTCCCCAGGAGTCTCTTAACACCTGGCTCATCCAGCTGAACCTGGATCACAAACACACACACACACACACACACACACACTGACCCTCCTCAGACATGCAAAATATTACACTGTCCAAAGGACACAAGATGTAGAATTATGCCATGCAATGCTGTTAAAATTGGGATATTTAGAGATTATAGTGAGAGCCAGGATTAAAATGGGTCGAGAGTTTTCTTTCCCAGGAGAATGTGAATGCAAAGAAAAAAAAATCCCATTTGCAAATACAAGTCCAGTAAGAAATAAAACAGTGTATGTTTAAAAATATAAACACGTAATATACTTATTTATCTACACACAGACACACAGACACACAGACACACTAACACACGAACGCAAACACAGACAGTACAGTTAGTGGATTAGTGAAGCCAGGAGCAGGGTAAGGGTCAGTTTCTTCCCCTGAGTCAGATGGAGAGATAAAAGCGCAGAGAGGAGGAGGAACACAGAAGAACAGATAAAGGGCAAAAGCGGACAACAGAGAAAAGACCAGGACAGATATAATGGAATAATACACATTTAGCCAGAGCTACAGGAGCCAATTTAGTTATCTGTGGTCCTAGGGGCAGTGGGAGTCCAACAGTGTCAGTCAACTCTGTTCTGGGTTACTTTTCATTTTGGCACAGCAGGATAGAGTAGGTACAGAAAACTTTCATCAGTGCTGCAATGATTTTTCTACCACATGGTGTAAATGAAAGGTGACAAGTCCTTGAAAAAAATGATTAGGTGAGTTGGGTCCTATAACCTGGTCTTCCAATTTGAGAATAGTTTTTAATAAAGATTGAAGAACTTTATGAAAAACTTTGTGGCGAGTTAGTTGTGTGTTATATTGTCTGCTAATCTACAATTAACATTCTAAATACCATACCTCATTGCTTTTGTATGTTGCAAGTATTGTGGATATAGATTTCACCTCACTGCCAGACGCCACCCAACTTTTCTTCAGGACTATCATATTGTAGCCTGATGATAATATAGACTATTATGTTTTGCACATGATCTTTTTAAGCTCTTAAACCGTCATGTACACAGTAGCGTACACTTTGCAAATTTACTGTATGCTGTTTGGCAAAACATTGTTTAAAATTTTAGAGCATTATCTACATTCTAGTGGAAATCCTAACGTTCTAATTGTGTTCGACACACTTAGATGAACACAATAGTATAAAATACATTAAAAACATGTATTTATCGAGCAACAACATAAAACCTTGGGTAAGCCTACGTTTAGCCATCACCATTCAAACAGTGGCTGGATTGACTGTTATATTTATATGAGAATTTAACTGTTTGGTGGCCAGAGAATTAAAAGAATATCCCAGACATTACAGAGAATGAAGACGACACTATAAAATTACTCAGACTGATGAAATCTTTAAAATTTGTTATTATTCACATTCTAATTATTCAAGAATAATATCTAAAGAGAATAGTTGATTTGTTAAAGTTATATTTGGTTTAAAAGCATGACAGGAGAATTGGCATTTGTTTATTTATTTATTTATGTAAGGCGGGGTTTTATTTTGAAATGTGAGCGTTTGCACGACAATTCCTCTCCTTTTCCGTACATCGCTAGGCCGGCGTGACGCCACTTCCTGCCACTTCACCGCCGCCAACTTACGAGGCTTCCTCTGTAGATAAGCAACATTCGTAAATTTAACGTCGGTGCCGCCTAAAGTGCTGAATTAAACAGTGGTCCTTTAACTTTAGCGGAACTTAATTTAACAGACCCCGGGCTAACGTTAGAGAGACCGTCCGTTTATACTTGTTGCAAACTGCAGTGACAGTTTCATCAGCAGCTCTGTCAGTCAGGGGAGGAGTCGTGCACATGCTGAGCCCACCTCTGTGCAAACTATTGTGTGATAAATGAAGGAATAACGGGTTCAAGAAGATGAGCAAGACTGATTAGAAGACGTTATACAGGACAAGATACACTGGGACTTCAGGAGGTTAAGTAAGAACAAATCATCTTCAATACTTTACAATCCAGGGACCCAGTAGTTGCAATTTAAATATAATCTCATCTCATGAACCTATCTCTCATTTTTCAGGCAAAATACCATAGTTTAATGTTTTTGATGCTGGTGTGTCTCCCCCTGTTCTCACTCTCTGTATGTGTGTCTCTGATAGTACAGGCTTTAAACTGAACCATGCTGCTGCAGAGGCTGACCCTTTGCTCACGGATCCCACTGGGTTCCTCGAGACACGTATGCCGCTTTCTCACCAGACCACTGACCCAAGGCAAGCAAAGCTGCACCACCACACTGTCATATTGTATATCCCCATGTAAACTCTCTGTATACCATTCAGTCCATTCACAGCCATCACATCACACCCCATCTCATCCAGCCGCCTGGATTAGAGAAAAGTAACTCAACCAACTTGTGACCCCAAAATCGTTGGATAAAAAGAGATGATTCTGTTGCTGAAACGATTTGTTGATTACTTGATCAGACAATTGACAGAACACTGTATTAATAGGAAACTATTAGATACATAATTAATTGTTTAGCTCATTTTTCAAGCAAAAATGCTAAACATTTTGGAGTTGTAGGGGATACATCATGAGGATTGTCTGCATTTCTTTTCCCAATGCAATAGTAAACTGAATATATTTGGGCTTTTGTGGTGTTGGTCAACAAAACAAATATTTTTAAAACAACACTACAGGTTTTAGCAAACTGTCAAGGATACTTGTCACAATTTTTTGGCATTTTATAGACCAAACAATTCATCTAGTCTAATTGATAATGAAATGTATCATTAGTTGCAGACCAGTCAACAACAGTTTTAATAATCTATTTTAAGTATAATTAAAAAGAAAAAAAGCCAAATATTTGCTGCTTTCAGCGTCTCATATGTGAGGATTTTCTTCTTTTCCTTTTGTTGTATCACTGTAAATTGAATATAATAGGCTACTGATGATTATTTTATGACTGTGACTATATCAACATTGACAATAAAGTATGTGCGGGCAGATGTGGTGAATTCCACAAGTACATCTGATCAACTGCTGTTCAAACATGCTCTCTCTTTCACTCTCCCTCTCTTTCTCTGTCTCTGTCTCTCTGTCTCTTTCTCTGTCTCTCACTCTCTCTCTCTCCCTCTCTTTCTCATGCGCTTCATTGCTCCAGAGAGATGTGTAATGTCAGCACAGGCTTTTTACTTGCACTGCTGATGTGGCAGTTTGAGGGCAGTGATTATCTGTTTCCCAGGTTACATATGGATGTAGGCGAGGGCTTCACTTTGTTTGCCTCAGTCTTGTAATCAATGAAATGAAAACACAGCAAAACATGCTTGTTTGCACAGTTATGAAATGCTTGCAAGGTTTTGTGTGGGTTTGCAGTTTCTTGTAAGCAAAGTTAAAGGTGCCGTTTATACCGGCACCATTGTTCATTTCATCTGATCTCTAGTTTTTTTTACTCGCACATTCTCAAGATTTCTTAGAAGAATCGATAGTCTGCAACACTATTTTCAGTGTTAAGAACGAATCTCCTAACCCCCATATAAATGAGATAAATTCTCAGTCAACATCTCATCCCTCCACACAGCTCCCCAGGGCAGGGCCCATGGCAGCTCCTTTGCCCACCGCGGTGAACTGCGTCAGGCTAAGAGGATCGTAGTCAAGCTCGGCAGTGCTGTGGTCACCCGTGGAGATGAATGTGGCTTGGCTCTGGGGAGGCTGGCCTCCATTGTGGAGCAGGTGAGGAGCACACAACCAACACAGACTGTAAATAAAGTAACATTTTGGTCCTGCAGAAAATTCTTGATAGGGAGGAAATATAAGCTTCAACACCATTTGTTTCAAGTTCTGTGATATGTAAACTCATCGGTGGGTATTCATGATTTTTTCCCATCCACTGCAGTTTATGTTGATCTGTACACCAGCTCACAAACATATATTTTCACATTTTCCAATATCTTTTCCCTTTGTTTTTAATCACCTTTTTTCTGATTGTAACTTATTTCATTTTTTGTTAATACTTTTGTTTGTTACATATTTAGTTTTCCTTTTCTACTTCTTTACTGTCTGTCTATGAGATGTAATTAGACAACTGTAACCTCCCAATATCAGAAAGAAGCGCAAAAACAAAACAAAAAGAAGATTCTGGATGGTTCAACCAAATTATGAAAAAATGTTTTTTCTCACTTACCTCTAGTCATGCAGATACAGTGGAAATAAAAAGTCTGCACACCCCTGTTAAAATGCCAGGTTTTTGCGATGTAAAAAAAATGAGACCAAGATAAATCATTTCAGAACTGTTTCCACCTTTAATGTGACCTATACCCTGTACAATTTAAATGAAAAACAAACTGAAACCTTTTTATAAATGAAAATTGAAAATAATGCGGTTGCATAAGTGTGCACACCCTCTTATAATTGGGGGTGTGGCTGTGTTCGGAATTAACCAATCACATTCAAACTCATGTGAAATAGTAGTCAGTACACACCTGCCATCAATTAAAGTGACTCTGTTTAACACCAAATAAAGTTCAGCTGCTCTGGTAGGATTTTCCTGACATTTACTTAGTTGCATCTTACGGCAAAAGCCATGGTCTGCAAAGAGCATACAAAGCATCAAAGGGATCTCATTGTTGAAAGGTATCAGTCAGGAGAAGGGTACAAAAGAGTTTCTAAGGCGTTAGATATACCATGGAACGCAGTGAAGACAGTTATCAACAACAGGGACTTTACCAAGAACTGGACGTCCCTCCAAAATTGAGGAAAATAGAAGAAGAAAACTGTTCAGGGAGGCTGCCAAGAGGCCTACAGCAACATTAAAGGAGCTGCAGGCATTTCTGGCAAGTACTGGCTGTGTACTACACGTGACAACAATCTCCCGTATTCTTCATATGTCTGGGCTAAGGGGTAGGGTGGCAAGACTGAAGCCTTTTCTCACGAATTAAAACATCCAAGCTCGGCTAAACTTTGCAAAAACATACATCAAGTCTACCAAAAGCATGTGGGGAAAATGTGTGATGATACCAAGTTTAAACGTTTTGGCCATAATCCTAAAAGGTATGTTTGGTGCTAAAACAACACTGCACGTCACCAAAAGCACACCATACCCACGGCGAAGCATGGTGGTGATGGCAGCGTAATGATTTGGGGCTGTTTTTCTTCAGCTGGAACTGGGGCTTTGGTCAAGGTGGAGGGAATTATGAACATTTCCAAATACCAGTCAATTTGGGCACAAAACCTTCAGGCGTCTGCTAGAAAGCTGAAGATGAAGAGGAATTTCACCTTCCAGCATGACAACGAGTCAAAGCATGCATCCAAACCAACAAAAGAATGGCTTCACCAGAAGATTAAAGTTTTGGAATGGCCCAGACCTGAATCCAATTAGAAAATCTGTCGGGTGACCTGACGAGGGCTGTTCCTCCCTAAAACATTTGTTTGTTTTTCAATTGAGTTGTACAGGTTATCGGTCACATTAAAGGTGGAAAATGATTTATCTTGCTCTCATTTTATCTTTTTTTTACATCACAAAAATCCACTGTAGTTTTAGTTTTATTTTCACAGGATTTAGGTCTTTCCACAACAATACAGTGGGTAAATGGACTGTTGTCATTGAATAATCACACCTGAAATATTTGACAAAAGTCAAACTTTCTGTGTTGCATTTGATCACCTTTGTATTGTGGGGGAGGCAGAAAGCTCAGAGATGATGTCATAATATCCACAAATAAAACAAAATAACATCATGGGTAGTCCCTGTGAGGAGTTAGTAAGAAAATGTTTTTTTTCTTAAATCCTCAGTGAAACTCTGTGCTTCCTATCTGTGATCCATGACTCCTAATTGGTTGTATTGTCATCCAGGTGGCCATGCTGCAGAATCAGGGCAGGGAGATGATGATTGTCACCAGTGGAGCAGTGGCCTTTGGCAAGCAAAGATTAAGACACGAGATCCTGCTGTCCCAGAGTGTCCGACAGGCGCTGCACTCTGGACACAATCAACTCAAAGACATGGTAAGAAATACAACAATACAATACAATGGCGTTTAATAGATACTACCCTTTGTGAAGCCTAATGTTCAGTATTTCTGCAGACTGATCCATCTCTCTGGTAAGCAGTTTATGCTAAAGTGCCATTCAACTTATTTTATTTTTTGGATACACCAGCTTGCCTGGCCACATCCTACAGATAAACTGTAAAACACTTTTGGAATGTGGAATGGTTTGATTGAAATGTTTCTCAGAAAAGCAGAACCAATGTTAACAGACATTTACTGGGCTTTATGTTGCAGTCCCTGCCAGTGCTGGAGGCCCGGGCCTGTGCTGCAGCTGGACAGAGCGGCCTGATGGCCCTTTACGAGGCCATGTTCACCCAATACAGCACTTGCACTGCACAGGTACTTATATTTACTTCATAGCAAAAATAATTCCTTTGAAATGGTACAGAAGTGTGTGTATTTTATGCAGTTTAACATCTTTAAATCTCTCTCTCTCTCACTCACTGGTCCGTTTATTCTCTGCTCATCAGATCCTGGTGACAAATCTGGATTTCCACGACGACCAAAAGAGGCAGAACTTAAACAGCACACTGCAGGAGCTGCTGCGCATGAACATCGTGCCCATCATCAACACCAATGATGCTGTGGTGCCCCCGCCGGAGCCCAACAGCGACCTGCAGGGGGTAAATGTGGGTACAGAGAGAATGGGTGTGGCGCTGCTGGTGGTGATGGTAGCGGTGGCAGCAGGTGTGCTGAACGGGTTGGCAGAGACGGTGTTTTATATAGTATAGACATTTGCACTGTTCATTGGCTACGGTATTTTCTACCATTCACACACACACATGCTGGAAGACCTCTGCCACCCGGCCTCACCTCATCTGCTCTGCCCTCAAGCATTAAGGCATGTGCATGCAGGGAGGGGATGGATGGCAGTGCATGCTGTCACTGGTCAGGAGGTACTGTCAGAGGGGACCGGGACTAACTTCTGTAGGTAGACGTCTCCTTTTCCTTCTCCTGCAGAAATAACACACCTGCAGAAATAACACCTTTTTGGTAATTGCACTTCACTCTCTTGTCAGCCACTATTCTGTTTACACACTTAGCTGCTGGCAACACAGCCAGTACAGAACTTTTTCTGCTTTTTTTTATATTAAAACATTGTCATTACACTGCTAAAATAGATCAGCTCAACTTGTGCTTAACATATGGTTGTTTGTCTAAGGGATTTACTCTATTATCTGGGAATAAAAAATGGCCCTGCAAATGCAAAGGCTTGACTTCAGGGCTGTGATAATTTGGCTTTGAAATTTTCCCTGAATGATCCTGTAGAGAGACAGCTCATTAACAGAAGTAAATGTTACACAGTTGTAATAATACATAAGTGTTTATTTGTTTGTATTTATCAGCTTGCCACTCAAGCCTTTTTTAAAAGAAAAAGGCTTAGATGGGTAAATTGGCAGATGGCTGACTTTCTGCCAATGCTTTTCTGTCTTTAGCAGCTTACATCAGTGATTTTCTGGTTCTGTAGGTGATCAGCATTAAGGACAATGACAGTCTGGCGGCGAGGCTAGCTGTAGAGATGAAGGCTGACCTGCTCATCGCGCTGTCTGACGTGGAAGGTATGCGTGTTACCACAACAACGGTCTGGATCAGCTGTTGGGTAACAACACCATCTGTCTGCACTGTTCAGTGGGAGAAAAAAAAACACCCATTTCAGGGTCAACTGAGAGTCATATGAGAGGCAAACACAGACCTTCTGCCATGATGTTTGAAATTGATGCTGATGGGGTTGACACAAGGTGTTCTTCTGCATGCACTTGTGTCATGGCTGTGGATCCATTTAGCATGAATTCTGTAGATTTAGGAAGCAGATTTTCTTGAGTAAAAAGTGGACCACTGGCATGAGGAAGTCTTTTCTTTTAAAACAAAAAAAACATAAATAACTAAGAACTGACAACAATTTTTATTTTATATTCTGAATGAAAACTGAAGGGTCCCAAGTTTGTGTTATGCTTGACATGTATAAACAAATAAGTTGAATAGAAAATGTTGATTTCTTAGGACTGTACAACAGCCCTCCTGGAACAGATGACGCCAAACTCATTGACATCTTTTACCCTGGAGACCAGCAGTCCATCACTTATGGTACAAAGTCCAGAGTTGGGATCGGAGGCATGGAAGCTAAGGTATATTGACGATCCATAATCCGTCTGTAAAAGTGTTCAAGTTAAAAGTCTTATCTTAGTAGACATTCAACAGATCGGCACAGCGAATGGACTTTTGTACTATGGATTTTTCTTATCATGTTTAAAAGAGAGAACTTGCTTTCAAATAAGAGATTATTCACATTGTATTGAATTGTCTGAATTATAATCAACCAAAGATCAGAAGTGCAAACTACAGGGACTTCGTTGGCACAAACTCCACTTAACCTCCTACATGCATGAAATGATCTGAAGAAGTCAAAAACTTCAGCCACTTGTATGCTACAGGAGAACAACTTGATTGTAAGACGAACACATTTTACGTACGTGGCCTTTATTGTGGTCAACTGCTCGGCCGATGAAATACAAGTGCGTTGTCATCCTGCTGAACCATATAAAGTGAGCTACAGGCTAATATTCATGTAGCCACTTTGTGACAGATGCCTGTGTTCAAGTGAGGAAACATATTAACATATAAAATATTGTCTCTTCATGCAAAGTAAAGTGAGGTTTTGACATTTATATTGAGATTGTAACAAAAAAAGACAAGTAGAGGTTTTAAAGAGACTCAATTTAACTTGTGTGTTTCTTTTGGTGTTTGTCTGCAGGTCAAAGCTGCGCTGTGGGCGCTGCAAGGTGGCACCTCAGTGGTCATTGCTAATGGAACCAACCCCAAAGTAACAGGTCACGTCATCACTGACATTGTAGAAGGCAAAAAGGTGGGAACCTTCTTCTCTGAGATCAAACCAGCCGGTGAGTTAACCTGGGCTGAATGGACTCTTTCACTCCAACCTCATATCTGTCACACCAAAGCTGCAGCTGTAGGTTAAGTCTTTGACTGAAGTCTGACCTTTCTCTGACTCTTCGCCAGGCCCGACTGTGGAGCAGCAGACTGAAATGGCACGTAACTCCGGAAGAACCCTGGCATCTCTTCACCCCGACCAGGTGACACATTGTTTTGAATAACAACAAAGGCTCACTGTTGTCTTCAGTAAACATGAGTTCAACATCAGTTTATTAATAAAAATATGTTTAAATAGGTTACAAACCCTCATACCTCAGCTTTAGTCCTAAGTCTTCCTATATCAGAGAAACACTGACCCCCTGTGGATAGATGTGGTACATGCTCATCCTGCCTGTATTTGGTTGACTGTGTTGTCAGAGGAGTGAGATCATCTGCCATCTCGCAGAGCTGTTGACTGAAAAGAAGGAAGAGATTCTTGCTGCCAACAAGATGGACATGGACCTGGCTGCTAATGCAGGTAGCACAGGGCACCATGCACTCAGTGTGTGTGTGTGTGTGTGTGGAGGATGTAGCAGTTTAGAAACCAGCACAAAGGAAAAGTTTGTTTTATCCATACAGGTTTTTATCATCAGAAATGTATTCTGTCATTGTTGCCTTCAAGCTGCTGCATAAACTTACCAAGAGATAATTGTGTTAAAAACTAAAAAAATTACAAATGGACAACTCAATCCATTTATCTCCACCAGAGGGCGCCTTTATCACTTTCCCTCCATATGCATGACCTCAGTCAATAAGATATACACCACCTGATAGCAGAGTGTAACCCTGCTCTCCCTCCCTCCATAGGCCATTTGCCACCAGCCATGCTTAAGCGTCTCAGTCTGTCACCGGCCAAACTTAACAGCTTGGCCATAGGTCTGCGCCAGATAGCCGTGGCGGCCCAGGACAGTGTGGGTCGCGTGCTCCGCAGGACCAGGGTGGCTCACAACCTGGAGCTGGAGCAGATCACCGTGCCCATCGGAGTTCTTCTGGTCATCTTTGAGGCCAGACCTGACTGCCTGCCACAGGTATCCAGGCAGAGTTGCCATAACGCAAGCAATCCTGGCAATTTAAAGATTGTATTAACTTTTGTAGAGATATCGATTTTACAGTATATACAATATATATTTCTCTTAATTCTCCTGTCAGTCTGTCGGCTTTTTATCCATGCAGAACTTTTTGCTTTCTTTGAGATGACTGCAGTAATATCACACACCATGTGTTTTTATCCAGGTGTCAGCATTGTCTATAGCCAGTGGTAACGCCCTCCTTCTGAAGGGAGGCAAGGAGGCAGCCAACACAAACCGTGTTCTCCACCAGCTCACCCAGGAAGCCCTGTCCATGCACGGAGTCAGAGAGGCCGTGCAACTGGTAAGATTGGTCTCCTGTATTATAAGACAATAAAAAAAACTTTAGGTAGTATGTTTCATAGATGGAGAAACTCAGAGCTCTATATGAAAGCACATCACGCTAAATGGGTGAATTAGAAACCAGTCCGAGAGAACCTGCTTTGTTCATCTATTTTCCTGAACCTTTTTTTTTTTTATTTTTTATTTTTTTTGCAAGGTGAGCACTCGTGAGGAAGTGGAGGATCTGTGCCGACTGGACAAGATGATCGACTTGATTATCCCTCGAGGTTCATCCCAGCTTGTGAGGGACATTCAGCGAGCTGCCAAAGGCATCCCGGTGCTGGGTCACAGCGAGGGAATCTGTCATGTCTACGTTGACGCAGAAGCCAGCATTGACAAAGTCATCAAGATTGGTCAGCAAATGCAAATCTCCACGCTGATTTATGCACGTTCATGTGTACATTTCTGTGGTTTCATACTGTGGTGCCAAAATAACACGGCTAATCAATTTACCAAATGTTAGTAAATTGTGGATGTGGTACTGGTAGACCAGTTCTGCCAGATGTGTGTTTGATTACAATCATCAGTGAACATGTCAGTAATTGACTGATATTTACACATTGCAGTCAGAGACTCCAAATGTGACTACCCAGCTGCATGTAATGCTATGGAAACTCTGCTGATTCACCGAGACATCCTGAGGACCCCATTTTTTGACCAGATCATTGACATGCTGCGCACTGAGCGGGTAAAGCACCTAATGCATATAATAACTTTTAACTTTAATAGCTACTCAAAATCAGATCCCTCTCTAGTGAGCTTTTTTTTTTTTTGTGTGTGTGTCACTAGGTGAAGATTCATGCAGGCCCTCGGTTTGCTTCCTACCTGACATTCAGCCCATCAGAGGCCAAGTCGTTGCGGACAGAGTACGGTGACCTGGAGTGCTGTATGGAGGTGGTGGACAGCATGCACGAGGCTGTGGACCATATCCACAAGTACGGTAGCTCCCACACAGACGTAATCATCACAGAAAACGGTACGTGACTCTTGATGTTTGTGCTATTACTTTTTTTTTTTTTTTCTTGTAAATTCCACGTTTCACCACGGTTGAGCATTTTAAATGGCATACACATGCATGCCGGAAAAATGCTGTCTCCCATAATTGTAGTCGCATCATATTTTACTAAACGGCACCTGTCAATCTTGTCTTGCTCCAATCTTCCTCATATAGGTGTCTCTGACATCTCTCCTCCTTACACTCATCTCCATCCCACTTTCTGCCACAGCGACTAATGAGCAGTGACACTTGTTGACAGGAGGAGTGCGCAGCCTCCCCGTGTGACTCCAATGCAGGGGACAGAGTCCATTTAAAATGTAGAGCAGATGCTAAAACACAGTTTAAAAGACTTGTCCCTGTTGTTACTCTTGGGTCATGTTTTAAACAAATTTGTCTTTCAAGTGAGCCGTCACACTGCATCTCTCTTAACTAGAGTATATAAAGGCTCAGGCCATATTGCAGGTGGACAGTGAAGACTAAGACTTGTGGGAGTAAAAGGTGTTCTGTAGAATAAGGGCATCTTTTACTTTTTTTTGCTCATAAGCAGCAGCAGCGCTCATAACATGGATAACAAGCCATTCTAAGAAAAAAATGATGTACAAAAGACTGAAGTACAAATACCTCATTAAAGGCGGAGATACAACTATGCAAAATATTTGACACTTCAAGTTTTAAGAAAAAAACATTTAATAGCATTTTGGAGAAAGTGTGCTGTGCGCGTCTCTACATTGAGGATTATTCTCAGCTGCAGTGGAGGATGCACTGCTGCCATCTAGTGACCACAGAAGGTACCTCAATGAATTCAAATGTATTGATTGTGTCAGCTAACCTCAAAGTTGATCACTGAGAGGATGGATGGATGGATAGATAGATAGATAGATAATGGGTAGTGGGTACATAAAGACTCGTGGATGAATGATCTGTGAAGTCATCAAGAGAAAAATTTTTTTTTTTTTTTTTTTTTTTTTTTTTTTTTTTGTCTGAAAATAGAGCCTCAGTTTAACTCAAACAATATTTCTATCAGAATTTATATCTTATACCTCAAATTTGGTTTACCTGATTTTAGCGTCTTTGAACGCCTCATGGATTTCTCCTGATGACATTTTGAACTTAGTCTTGGCCACTTTTCGGTGGATGTTCACAGTTCACATGATTTTTAGAGTTTGCAGCACTGGGTGTCTACTAAAATGACATGGGCAGAGGTCTTTAATTCAGTTATGCAATTACAGTGGTAGCAATGAATACCTGTAATTATGTCCTCTGAACTGCAGATTTTTAAAGAAGCTTTTGCTTTTCTTCATCGCATTAATTCATTATTTCAGCTCAGTTTCTTTGGTATAACCATAATAAATAGTTGTCATTGTCACATACTTCATGTTAATGCCTGGAAGGCTCTTATGTCATAGATAGAAGTTTGTGAATTAACAGCTGCTCTTCTCTTACAGAGGACACAGCGGAGCAGTTCCTGCAGCAGCTGGACAGCGCCTGTGTTTTCTGGAACACCAGCTCACGTTTCGCTGATGGCTACCGCTTTGGACTGGGTACGTGGTGGTCTTATCACCATATTATTTGTCTTTTGTTGCCTCTTTCTGTGTGTGTCTCCTTTTCCCAAAAGCCTGCATATTCTTACCCATATTCATTTGTTAGAGAGAATTGGCACGCTTCTTCGCCACACATGTTTTGTTTACCTTTCTCACTTTCTGTCTTTCTTTCCGCTGACTTTTGGCTTTTCTGTTTAGGAGCAGAGGTTGGTATTAGCACGGCGCGTATCCATGCGCGGGGCCCTGTGGGCCTTGAGGGGCTGCTCACCACCAAGTGGGTTCTGAGAGGTGATGGGCACACGGCAGCCGACTTCTCTGAGCACGGCACTATGAAGTACCTCCATGAAAACCTGCCTGTTGTGCAGCCTTTAGCTGGACAGAGAGACAGCAACTAGACCGGAGACTTTCACAACGCTCTCTTGGCTTTAATGTTGGTCAAAATGCTTTGCATTGCCCACCAGCAGCCTCTGTTTTAAACCTCTACAGCACACAGCACGGAGAGAGATGCTCAACACGCCAATGGTCAATTTTATCAGTACAACCAGAAAGTTGTCCCTGCTCAGATTATACTGTTGTTCATTGACTAAGAGTTTACAAATTTTTTAAATTCTACCTCAGCTTATGATACCTTTTTTATATATGAGTTAGGGGAGTCACCCCCATAGGCCTCTGCAGGAGGTATCATGTGGTGATCACAACACATAAATGCCTTCACAATGATATTAATATAATTGGGGACAGTGTGAGCCAGAAAGGAGTGAATTAAGATTGCTTTCTGTAAGACAAAGTAAACACACGTCATACATGTATCAACGGAAACCAAGGTGCTTGATGTTTTTTATTTTTTATAATGCAATCTCAGGACATCATTTTCATCAGACATTAAGTCACAAGCCTCATGCTATAAGAGAAGAGATCGTGCTATATTGTCATTATGCTGGCTTTGCTTGTTTACACCGAACCAAACAAAGCCAGCATATTGCTGCCTCTGTGTGTGAATTTCAAATAACACAATATAACAGTGTTGGTATCTCTCCCGCCATGCCAGCTCTTTCACACAGATGTTGATCCAGCTCTGTGACTACCTCCACTGCCGGCTTATTGCCGGAACAACAGTGCCCTGCCCCCACTCGCTGTTTGTATCTTTTTATACAGAAAGACGAGGTGCAATAAAGGTGCACTATTGCCGCCATGAACAGGCTGTGTTAAAGTGGCTACAGAAACAGTATTTAATTTCACCCACAAAATGGCTATGAGAAAAGAAAATGTCAACACATTCTTAATCATCAGTACCAAAATTAACTTACTTTTACCCATTTTATTTTTTATCTAAAATATTTTTCATTTAATGTGATCTATTCTAGTCTGATCTTTCAGAAAAAAACAAGGTTGATGCTGATTGTACTGTATCTGCTTTCTTTGTTTCATTTCAACATTTTCTTGCTGTAATTTCAGGATGAGTTTTCTGTATGATATCTAAATGTACAGGTATTTTTGATTAGCTGAGATGCTGGTTTTATATCACTACAAGTTGGCATTTGACAGCCGAAATGTTTACCTTTTCTAACTACTTTAACCACTTCTGGTGTGTTTTCGGACTTTTAAGTTTTCCTTTATTAAAACTTAATTACAGGATTAAGATTAATAGTATCATATATGATACAGAAGTATAAAGTAAATTTACCAGTTGTGTCGTACAGTAATCCAAGTTAAAATGCACTTCAACTTGAATGCATCCATTTTATTTACTATTTTATTTATTTGATCATTGTTACAAGTTCTGCTCTTTTTTTTTTTTTTTTCCACACCATGATTTGCTGTTTTCCTGTTTGTTCCTCGTGGCGCCCAAAGCCTCTGTCAGAGCAGGAACAGTAATTGACAAGCTGCCTCCTTCGAGCTGGAGGGGAGAACGCAACTGCTTTTAAATTAAGCTCTATAACATTCCAGCCTCTGAGCTCCTATCTGATGTCTTGCAATGCACACTTAAGGATTGGTTTGGGTTGTTTAATAGCAATATTGTAGAATTAAAAAAAAATGTTGAAAAAGAATATTTGGATATTTTTCTTACTTTCTTTGATTTTTTTTTTTTTTTTTTTTTTTTTTTTTTTTTTTAGCAATTGAAATGTTGAGGATTTTCACACAGATGTTCATTTCTGTCCTGGCACTAGTCTTTCTACTTTCACAAAGAACACAAATTAATGGGGAAAAAAAGTCATACTGATCTGAAAAACAGATGTCTAAAAAGGGCCTTTTTAAAGTTGCCCATAGGGGAATTCACATTGCTGGAAGTGGGGCAAAGAAGATGGAAGACAATACTATAGAGGTTTAATTATCCAGCCATCAGAAATGAAAAGGGGGAGAAGGAGAACTGAGACTAATAATGGAATCACAGGCTTATGTTCTTGGTTTCTGTTTCTTTCCTTTTCTTTCTTTTCTATCATCTAAAGAATTCATTCTCCAAAACGCACTACTTACCCTTCAATCAGCCTCCCATCACCAAGTCCAAAGGGTTCAGAGATGAAGAGAGAGACAAAACTCGGATCTCACTCTTTTGTCCTTTTTATGTGTGAAGCGATTGAAAAAAATCATCTAAATGACTTGAGGTAGAGTAGGAACAATCCAGGGACACTGAGTATTGCGTCTTTGATGCATAGTGTTATTATAGAATTGCATTTTACAAAATCACATGCATCAAAGTTGTTTGCTACAGTAACAGTACGGTAGTTATTGCATTGCTGTATTAACACCAGTTTTCGACTTAAGCAATAAAAGGGCGCTGTGGAGTGTTTTGTTGTGAAAGAAAGCTTCCATTGCCAGGTTCCTTACTCGGATGCCTCTATTTTACTTTTAAGTCGATGCTAATTTTGCATTGAAATATTATCTTGGCAATAAGCTGTAACCCTGTATGTCAGATCATGCAAATTCCCAGCTTAACACTAACCAACTTTAAAAAAATAAAAAAAATAAAAAAAAAACCTCTCTTGGTGCTCTACAGAAAAAAAAGATATATAAGTGTTACACTGATGATTCCAGTGCAGGATGACCAAACATGAAAACAGAAAATATTTTCCTAAATTTTATTTTTTGACATGCTGTTTTTGGTCAACCCAATTCTGTCCCTGTTATGTACCAACAAGAGACCTAAGGGCAGATTTCAATGATGTTATGAGTAAAAAATGCAGTAGAACTCAGTAGATTATGCAACTTGACTGTGCTGAATATTTAAGCAAAGATGTTTGGAGAGTCTTCAGGTTGTTTGCTTTTCCTGTTTTTATCTGAAGTTTGAACTTCAGATAAAAACTTAAAACACACGTTCTTTAGACACTTGTTTTCTGCAGTTGTGTGAGTCTAAAGAGTTATGCGAGTCTAAAGAGCTTATTTCCTGAATTAGTTTAATATTTGAAGCCACTGCCCCTTAATGACCTTAAATTAACTTCCAGTTTGTTCATTTCCTCTCTTCTCTTATCTGTCATTGCCCCCAGACCCCAGCTGATCAGTTATCATGTTGCACCCGTTGATGGTGTGTTGGCTGTTGGGTATTGTTGTCCACAGAGATATAAGGAGGATGATAAGGGCAAATCACTGGACTTGTACAGCAAAGCCGACAACCCTTTAATTGGACATTACTCAAGGCCAAAACTCATATTTCTTGTTGTTCTTGATCTTAAGAGATTCTCAAATGCACTCCCCGCTGGGCTTCAAATTTTTTTGAATCAATAATTAATGGTCAAAGTTATTTATTCATGTGTATCTTCACCAATTACGCAGTGTCTAATTAACAATTTCAATAATTGATATTTATTTCTGAAAGGGTTGAGTATCTTGGGCTGATGAAAAATGCATGAGCAGGGATATGGACTGGGTTTTGTTTTTTGTTCTGAGAGAGCTTGATGCTCGGGGCTAATACCAGGCCACTTTGACTCCAACTCTTTGAGTTGGCACTGGCCCTGTGATGTGGATCTAATATGGGCATCTTTCATGGACCCAAAGCGCTTACTGTGTACCATGTGATCTCATAAAGACTCCTACATGCCCATCCTCAGATACCCCTTTTTTTTGGTCTTTAATATTGAACTTCAAAGAATAAGCTTCTGTTTCCTTGATAATTTTTCTTTGTGTATGTGGAATGACAATATCATGGCAAACTGTAGAAACTCTTCGTCTTACTAGGACCTCAGTGGTTACATCTACATCTAACTCTGTGGCCTGATGAAACTAAAGTTCAATCACCATGCTAAAAAGAAAATTATCCCTCAGATTTATGACAAGCCCTATCCCCCTGATCTTTTGATAGTGACAGCTGTAGTCGTCAATAGAAAATTAACAAAGGCTCACTTTAGCTGACTTTAATCAAGTTTTCATTTATTGTGATTCCAGTAGGACAGGAGGTTGGGGACTAGTGAGGCAAAACCATTTTGCAATGGGACGACCAAAGCAAAAAAGATCATCACTATTTACTGTGAGCATTGCTTGAGCACTGAGTTGGGGAGGAACTTTACCCAACAATGCAGAGCAACCCAACAAAACCAGAACCCAACATCAGACGCACCAAAAGTCCCATCATTAAAATGTATAATTTCAGGTTAGGACACCACATTGTTGTGACCACATTGAAACACTGTTGGCATTAGGATGACAAAAGGGTGGAAAGCTCAACAGTGGGCTTCAGTAAGGGTAAAAAAAACAAAACAACTGGGAATCAGTTGATCTCAGTGACACGTCTCAGAGAGCCAATGGTAGGGCTGGTGCTTCCCCACTCACTGTGTCTCCTGTACTCTCCGGGACGCAAGAAGTACTGGCGTCCCCTGTAATTAGGGTGTTCATGCAGCATCCAGTAGCCCTCCATGACGTTGACGGAGGAGATGTCACGGGTGTGGAAACGCTCGTGCAGATCTGGGCAGTCATCCATTAGCTCCAGATTCTGGCCCCCAAAGTCAGACCGCTCAAAGATCTTCATCCTGTAGTTCCCATTATACTAGGGAAAAAATGATGAGAGAAGACGGTGATACTACCATCGAAGATGCATATTTCTTCAACTTTATAGTATTATCACAGTCGAGTAGAATAACATGGCAATTTGACATAAAATGACGGACAAACTTTTTTGCGCCGTACTAAACTTTTCCTGATCCGATGACCCCGTCTATTTTTTTTTTCTTGGCACAATCTTTTTTTTTTTTTTTTTTTTTACTGCAGTCACAGGTCAAGCCAAAAAGAGATTTTTTAAAATAGCCACAGGTATTGGCACTGACTGGTGAAAACAGTAGGACTAGGCTTGAGAACTAAATCATCCTAAACTGGCACTTCTACAGAAAAGCCTTAGTGGGAACATTGCTGCACACAGGGTAGGGCATCAGTTAAAACTCACAGGTGGCACCATACGGCAGGAGCGGATGCAGTCATTGAAGCCTGCCCAGCGTTGGTAGTCGGGGTACTCGCCCTTGTGCAGCATATACTGGTAGCCGCCATAATTGGGCTTCTCGTAGGCCACCCAACAACCGCTCTCCACTCTTATCGAGTTACAGCGGCTGAAGTAGTTTTGCATCTCAGGACAGTCATTACTGCACTCATAGTGACGACCCTGGAAGTTCCTGTCTTCGTAGAAGATAATCTGCATATGACAGACAGTTGGATATTATTACCACAGGGCTATACAAAAGGCAAACTAAGAAAGCTTTTGTATAGAATAATTGTAAGTGAAGAATTAGGATATAGATCAGCATGAGAAATGTCCCAAATGATGTACCAGATGCAAAATATAGAATCACATGTGATATATTTTAATGAAGAGAAAAAGTTCAATTAATAATTGCAGTTTTTACTATCCTCAGTAGAGGACAAAGCATAAAAGTATGTCTGATTTTGCAGTTTCTATTTAGCATGTTGTTTAATTTAATTTATTCAAATTTTTGACCATGATGCTTTGCCATTTCTAGCATCTTATTACATCCCTGTATATGTCCTGAATATATTGTAAACAATCCAAAGAACTACTGACCAAAACCAATTTATTATTTATCACTCAATGAAGATATTTAGCATTTTATGTGGCAAAATAGTAAATATTTTTTGAGTGTGTCATTGCAGCATTTATCAGTTCAGTATTGATCAATATATGACATCAAATATATGAGTTGCTGTTACTACGTATATTTTAAATTGCACACTTACCTTGCCCATTGTAACTGTTAAGTTCAGACCAGGCCAGATGCCGGGCTGTACCAGACCTCTTTATAGACCCTGCTGGGATCAGGGCTTTGCAAACACGAAACAAAGCTTTGTCGCATCAGCACAATACGCTCTATAGACTGCAGAACACTATAGGGCTGGTGAGCTGCGACAGTCGCTTTGTCTTTGTCAAAGCTCTGTCTGTCTATGGAAAATACTGTACAACTGCACTTTCTCAAAGGGCTACAATAAGAGTTGCAACATTTGCCTTTATTGGCATGAATACCAGAAATTTACATGCAGACTGTGAGGATAGACATGGCAGCAAAGATAATAGGTTTGGTTTGTTTCAATAGGTATTTGAGGTGCTATAGATCATTAAGCAGCACTAGGATTTGATGGGTTGAGGATGTATACTAAACTTTGCTTGTCCAAGGAGTGTTACTGCACTTCAGACTTGTGTTCCAATTGCACGAACGTGTTGAAATAAGCACAAAGGACATTGTTGTTTGAAAATCAAACATTTAATGTTCATGAGTTGCGCATGGTTACAGTTTACATCATTGTCCTCATCCTTCTGAATGAGCCCACCATGGGGTTGTGGCAGCCCCAATCACCACAGGCCCTG